GAGAAAAACAAAAACAAAAAAACCCTCAAAGCAAGCAAGCAACAAAAACGCGAACACCTGCCCTTGCTGTTGTGTGGTGGCCTCCTCATGGGCTCCCCCACTGCCTCGGCAATTGGGAACCTGCACCGTCCTTCCCTGCAGAGCCTTTGTTTCTGGCCAGCTCCCAGCACACTGAAGATGCCCCACGAGTCAGGGCTGGGTCAGGGAGTAAACGAATCCCTGTACACAGACAAGGGGCCACCAGGGTTAGCCAGCCTCTTTCTCCAGAGCTCCAGAACCTTCAGGTTGTAACCAGCAGCCGCTAAGCTGCTCTCCTCACTCACTCGTTCCTTCAGCTGAAGCCTATGGCATCCACCAAGCCAGCTGGCCAGAGAACCTGGAAAATGTTCATGGGTTTTGTTGGGCGAGCCTACTGGGAAGTGGTAAGAAATATGAGCTGCATGACGAAGCCATAACACTCACTCACAGGCCTCTAAGTCAACCCCACAGAGACTCCCACACACCCATGCTATAGGTTCACCATTCATAACAACCAGGAAATGAATTTGGTCCAGATTCCATCAACAGACGAATAGAAAAAAGAAAATGCAGTGTATACACACAATGGAATTTTATTCAGCCGTAAGGAAGAATGAAATCATGGCATTTGCAGGAAAGAGGATGGAACCAGGGACCATTATGCTAAGCAAAGTAAATCAGCCTCAGAAAGACAAAAACCGTATGCTCTCTGGTGCAGAATCTAAGTCTAAATTTATGTGTGTGTGTGTGTGTGTGTGTGTGTGTGGTGTGCGTGTGTGTCTGTGTGTTGAGGGTATGTGTCTGTGTGTGTGTTTGTGTGTGTGGATGTGTGTGTGGAATGGATGTCTCTAGTGTGTGTGTGTAGTGTGTATGGATGTTTGTGTATGTGGTGTGTGTGTAGTGTGTATGTCTCTGGTGTATGAGTGTGATCTGTATGTTTGTGTGTTTGTGTTTGTGTGTGGTGTGTGTGTGTAGTGTGTATGTCCCTGGCGTCTGTCTGTCTTTGTGTATGTGATGTGTCTGTATATGTGTCTCTGGTGTGCGTGTGTATGGTGTGAGTGTGTGTTTGTGTGTGGTGTGTGTGTGTGTATGTCCCTGGCGTCTGTGTGTCTTTGTGTATGTGATGTGTCTGTATATGTGTCTCTGTATGTTTGTGTCTGTGTGTATGTGTATGCTGTGTGTGTTTGTCTTGTGTGTGCTGTGTATGTCTCTGTGTGTATGTGTGGTATGTGTGTATGTTTTGTGTGTGTATGTATGTGTGTGTGGTGAAACTAGAAAGGGAACCATGAGAGGGAGAAAAAGCACTTAAGGGAGAGCAAAAGGGAGACCGACTCATGTCAGGAAGGCAGAAGAGGAACTATTTGGAGGAGGAAAGGGACTGACAAGGGGCTGAGGGGGCTGAGGGAAGGTGGCAGGGAGAAGGAGGAAGAACAATCCCACTTCCTGTAGCAGCCGCTTTCCAGCGGGCAGCATCCCACGCGTAACCGCCTTGCCTCAGCCTCCGTAGCCACAGAAGGAAAGACTGCAAATCACATAGACTTTAATATGTTCAAGAGAGTTCAGCACTCAAGATCCCAGCATTAGGGGCTGGAGAGACGGCTCAGCGGTTAAGAGCACTGACTGCTTTTCCTGAATACTTAGGTTCGAGTCCCAGCACCCACATGGTGGCTCACAACTATCTGTGACTCCAATTCCAGGGGGTCTGACACCCTCTCTGGCCTCTGTGGGCACTGCATGCGCATGGTGGACAAAACACTCAGACATGTAAAATAAAAATAAATATATTAAACAATATATCCCAACATCAGGACTTCAGTGTCGGCTCAAGCTTAGTCCGTCCTTCACTGTTTTTGGTTGTAGAAGTGGGGGTGCAACCATTCTCATTTGGCGTGTCCCTCAGCTTCACAGGCATTCGGGCACACTTACGTGTGTACGCATAAGGTGGACAGACGTGACCTCCAGGGGCCCTTCTGAATCAGACCTGATCCAGACACACTGACAGCCCCTGTCCTGTCGAGGCTACATGGAGGCCTGGGCTCCACAGCAGACAGGTAGGGTTTGAATTCCTCATCATTTCTCTTAATGTGGGAAGAGACAATTACTAACTGAGAGAACAAATGTTTTCTCTACCACGATCAAGAGCATCAAAAACGCAGTCTATAATTTGTGTTTGCTGCTTAAGGAAAAGAGATACGTTAGGATGGCTTATTTTGCATAAGTAACATTTCACACCATTGGAGTTCAAACAGGTAGAAAGAAGTGCTCATACCTCGAAAATCCTCAGGTCGACGCCTCAGGAATCCTAGATGGGTCTTCCCCATATTTTTCTTAGGTTTCTGTTCTTGTTTGTTTGTTTTGTTTTGTTTTTTTGAGACAGGGTTTTTCTGTGTAGCCTTAGCTGTCCTGGACTCACTTTGTAGACCAGGCTGGCCTCGAACTCACAGAGATCTACCTGCCTCTGCCTCCTGGAGTGCTGGGATTACAGGCTTAGGTTCCTGTTTTATCTCCCAGGTTAATATTGTGCTTACACACTGACTAGCCCCAAACTGAAACCTTCATGTGTGAGGAACAGAAATTTGATAGAAATGTGCTTAATGTACCGAACATATAAAATAGAGAAGCGATCAAATGTCAAAGGACCAATACTTACACCAACTGAGTAATGTTCCCTAAGAAGTGTGGTGTTAAATACAAATCCACATTAGTCATCAACCAAGACAATGCCCCACAGACTTGCCTGCAGGCCAATCTTTTTTTTTTTTTCCAGTTTATTTACTTTACATCCCAAGAGTGTGCCCTCCCTCCTCTCCCCCTGCACTTCCCCCCTTGTCCCCTTTTTCTTCTCCCTTCTCCCCCCATAAGGGGCTCCCTACTCCCCCATATCAAGCCTCCCCAGTGCACCAAGTCATGCCTGCAGGCCAGTCTTGGCGAGGCACTTTCTCAATTAAGATTCTCCGTTGCCTGATATGTCGAGGTTTGTGTCAAGATGACAAGAGCAGCCAGTGCACCCCCGAGCCCGCCCTTTTCTAATAGCCTCTCAGAGATGTAGGCTGTAATAGTTCTTAATTCTTTTATAATCACGAAAAGGCAAGGCCAACCTAGGTACGAAGATGCTTCATTGCTCCTGAGTTAGTCAACTGGTGTTTCTTCACCATTTTTGAAATGGCTCATTGCAATTATTGATGAAAGCAACTTTCGATGTTGCATTATATTGTTTCCAAACGAGAGACCCTGGGTCTGTCACCCCAAACCCCAGGTGGGATGCTAGCACCAAACCCAGACTCACTTTTGAGCCAGGCAAGCAGGAACCCTGATCTGACCTCATGTTTGTGTGTCAAGACTCACACCCAGGCATGGGAGGCTCAGCTGGCTCAGGCTGGGCCTGCTCCTTGTAGCTGAGTGTCTCTGCAGGCTAACCCTTGGCAGTGCTGGCTCACTGAGGTACCTTCCGCTCCAGAAAAATGTTTCTTGCCACCAGTGATCTGAGCATTGTCCATGCCTGCCTCTGAAGAAAAAGCGCATTGCAGTCGCAGGAGAGGGTTCCAGTGACCCGGGTTCCCCTCAGGCTAACACCTCACCTCTTCATATGTGAACTCCTGAGCTAAGTTCACACCTGTACAGATAAGTTTACTGTGTTTTCTCTGAAGGCCCCGACTGCCCCACTAAATGTATGCTTGAGGTGCTGTCCCCCAGATGACACATTTATTGCTTCCAGTGAGTGTATGACAGGCAGCTGTGCCTGAAGACCCTAGGTCCTGAGCCCTTGTACACCATGGGACCATATTTGTAAGCTGTGTCCTCAGAAGCATTATTGTAGCTATTGAATTTAAAAGGGGCGTCTTCGTGAGGGCTGGAGAAATGGTTGAGCAGCTAAGGGTGCATACTGCTCTCGCAGAGGACGAGACTTCAGTTCCCAGCACTGTGTTGGGAGGCTCACAACTGCCTATTATAACTCCAGCTCCAGAAACCAGTGTCTGAGCCTCTGGCCTCCATGGGTACCTGCATTCATACCCCCCTCCCCCCACACACAGAGAACTCAAAATATATCTTAAAATGGCTTCCCCTTAATATGACACTTAAGATATTCATTCAAATGAAATTGAAATTCTCAACTTCATACCACACCACACCATAACATAACATACACCCCCCACACACACTCAAACACACACACACACAGATACAGAGACACATACAGACATACACACACTCACACACAGAGAGATACAGGAACAGACACACATTCATACAGAGAGAGAAAGAGAGAAAAGGAAGGAAGGGAGGGAGGGAGGAAGAAAAGGAAAGAAGTCAAGTGCCAGGGCCCCTTCCTCATTAGCAAACGAGGGGACATAGGCCAGCACTGGGTGGCATTCCTTCCTGAGGTCCTAGGCTGTTTCCAGGGATTGAATCATGAGTCTCAAGGCAGTGTGAACCCCACGGGAAGCCTGTGTGCAAGTCTAGGCTGACACCACCGTCCCTACAGCTGTCCCCAGGCTGCTGCTGTGGCCAGAATGAGGAGCTGGCTCTTCTTTAGAAGCCTCCACTCCTTGTCCAGCCAAGGAGAGAGAACATTTGCCTGACCTATGTAACTTCAGTGTCGCAGGTCAAGGCAATCCACACATAAAGACCCCTGCCCCATTTCTCACCTCCAGAAGGCACTGGGGACAGAGGAAGGGTAAGAGTTGGGGACCGTGACTCTGTGACAATGATCCCAGAGAAACTGGGTGTGGATTGAGGAAATTACCAGGTTTCCTGTACCAGCAGCGCCTGCAGGAGGGACCAGAGTCCCTGTTTCCTCCTTCCTGGCTCCAGGAGCCTGGCCTCTAAGAACTAGCACACCTGGCTGAGGGGATGGGGATTGAAGGCAGGCCTATTGGGCAACAGGGCGGGGCTGGTCTTGTGAGGTCACCCAGCATGGATAAAGGGCCCCAGGGAGGGTGCAGAGGCCAGGCTTACCCTCTAGGTCCTCCAAGACCACAGACATGAAGCTGCTCATCCCTGCCTTGCTGTTTCTTGAGGCCCTTGGTGAGTGCAGGTGCCTGGGGGTGTCACCTGCTGGGGATGTGCTGTCCCGTTCTTTGGGGAGGAATGTAAGGGACACAGGGCGCCCGAGTTTAGACTCTAGCCTCTGCAAGGACTGTGAGACTGTGCATCGCTCTTCTGACCCTTTATTTCTTCATTGTGAAAAATGACATGGTGCGAGAGGGCAGACTCAGAGGACTGAGTCTTCAGGGTGCTTGTCTGATGCAGCGGTCCCCAGTCTCATCAGGAAACAATGCCTGCCTCCTTCATGGACTCACAGGGGGCTGGGGAGGGAGTGTGCTCTATACTGAGCACTGGTATTTGCAGGGTGGGAAACTGGGGAGCTTGGCAAAGCCCTGGTCTTTTAGTCACCTTGACTATGCCTCCCAGGAGCAGGAAAGAGCTCCCTCCTTTGGCTTCTTGCCTTGCGTGTGCATTTCTTGGCTTGAGACATGGCTCCCCTCTTCGTGGTCTCCCTTTACCTCCAGAGCTCACCCATTACCCAGCTACCCTCTCTGTTCCCAGTGCTGTCCCCTCATCGCAGGGGACAGCCTTTCCTCACCGGATTCCCTGGCCACATCTTCTGTCATTCCACTCTGCCCCTTCCCTAGGCAGCATTCCCATCTCCATCCACCCTCTCTTGTGAGTCCCAGCTTCACTGTCTCCAATGAAGCCATCTTTGTAGCAGCATGGGGGACCCTCCATGGTCTGACCCTACACCCTTTCTTAGTCCTCCTGCAGCTGCGCCCATATCTAACTCAGGTATCTTATACAGGCAGGCTAGCCCAGTGGTCAGTGGTGCTAGTGCCCAACTGCCTAGGTTCAAATTCTAGAGCAGACACTACTTAGCTGGAAAGTGCCTGGAAGTGTGGGGGCGTTGACAGAAATCGCGCCGAAGGGTGGACTCGGTGACTCCGTGGGTAAAAGTGCTTGCCACCAAGACTGAAGACCTGCATTCTATTCCCAGAACACACACCATGGAGCCACCAGTTGACTTTCCATCTCTAACTCGATCTTTTCTGGTCAAGTGTTGTGCTAAACACCCTTGATTCATGCACTTGGGAGGCAGGGGCAGAGGAAGCCACACTAGTCTCCATAGTGAGTTCCAGGACAGCCAAGGCTACATAAAGAGAGACCATGTCTCAAAAAGCAAGCAAGCAAACAAACAACAAAAAAAAGAGCCCTTTATGACCTTTCACATTAGTGGAGTCATCCAATATTTCGTCTTGTACTTGGCTGCCCTCACCTAGAATAAACAAGGCTTCTTCATTTTATAGCATGTATGCACTTCTTTTCTTTCTATAGTTGAATAATATTCCATTGAAAGGATTTACCATATCTTGTTCAGCCATTTGCTAGTTACATATTTAGGCAGTCACATATTTTTGTTGTTTTGCTTTTATTTATTATTTTTTTGCTGTTGAAAATAATGCTGCTGTGAATATTAATGTTAAATATTTCTGTAAATCTGTTTTTATTTCTATGTGCAATTGCCAACCTGTTTCCCAAAGTGGCTACATCATTTCACAGTCCCATCACTCCACCAATGTGTGGAGTTTCCCGTGTTTGCAGCATTAAGATCCAGTTTGCATAAAAGCAAAACACGAGCCACATCCCTCCCCTGATACCCTGCCAGGGTCATCTAGGGCAAGACAGGTGGAAGTCAATAAACCATCTTTGCAGTGGATTCTCTTTTAAGGGGTAGGAAACACAATAGTCATAAAACATAAGATAACCTAGAGGTACCGTCACCTCTAACTTGCTGGATCTCAGGCCTCTGGCCAGGACAGGGCCCCCTGTGGACCAGAAGCATCTACAGCAGAGCAACTGAAAAAAGGAGGGCATAGGCCGAAGGCAGTCTCCAGAACCCCACGACATTGCCAGATTCCTAGCTCCTTTCTCTCTTTTCCCCAGGACTCTGTCTGGCTAAGACAACTGTTCGATGGTGTGCTGTGTCAAAACCTGAGGCACAAAAATGTTCCCGGTGGCAGAAGGCGATGAAGAAAATGGGTGGCCAACCACTCAGTTGTGTCAAGAGATCTTCCACGAGTCATTGCATCCGTGACATCATGGTAAGCTAATACCCAAGCCTGAATGAAGGAAAGCAAGGGAGAGGTGTGGGGCCCAACTGGAAAGTCCCATCTCTGCTCCCTCTGCTTTACTTTCTGGGCATCTGTCGGTTGGGAGCTGTCCTCACCACAGGAACACCACAGGTGTCTCTTGCTATTGAAAGAAAGAAACTGATGTTGAGAGGAGTTCTATGGAGTAACGAGAGTCTTATTTCACATTGTTCATAGAACTATTTTTTTTAAAAATGCCTAAGCAGCCAATTTGATGACTGTGTAATATCTCTAAACCCTTGAGAAATAAGCCTGACACAGCCATTGGTGCCATTTCCCCACTGTTGGGCAGGGATGGCCAGGACTCTAGACATTGAAAAGATGCTTATTCGCCCTCCAGCACCTATGTAAAAGCTGGATGCAGTAGCTTTCACACATGATCCCAGGGTCCAGGAAGCAGAGACAGAAGGGCCTCTGGGGCCTAAACAAACTGGTGAGCTCCAGGTTTGGAAAAGATTTCTGTCTCAAAACGTAAGGTGGAGAGAGGTGGAGGAAGACACCGGAAGTCAAGCTCTGGCCTGCGCTTGTTCATGTCCTCTCTGTGAGAGCACACACACGGCACACATCCCAAGACTGAAAATACATATGAAACCAAGAACAGAGGCTAAAGTATGTAGAACAAACAGTGTGACCAAAGTAAACAGACATCTCTAGGGGGCCACACACAACTTCAGGATTAAAGCCCTGGTGGTGCCTACTGCTCACAGCAAATGACCTTTGACCTGTGCCATCATCTTCCTATACGGACATGAGTAAGGCGAACTCGTGCCAAAGCCCCCAAATCCTTCCTCCTGAAGCATGTCTGGTCCATCTTCTTTTAGTCAAACAAAGCTGATGCTATGACTCTCGATGGCGGATCACTGTTCGATGCAGGACCGCCTCCCTACAAATTGCGGCCTGTAGCAGCCGAGGTCTATGGAACCAAAATACGTGAGTCCTCCCCGGGGACCCCGAGACCTCATGGCCGTGTTGTGGCCGTGGGTCGGGCTCTGTGGAGTGGGAACGGGTGAACACAAACAGGCGGACCTAGTTAGCATCACACACTGGGGTACTGAGTCACTGGGCTCTGGGTGAAGACAGATCCTCCTGATGTGTGGGTCCCCTTCCTACAGGGGCCTGGGTGGAGTGGCTTGTCCCTCTCCCGCTTGTCCAGGCTAAGCCCTGTCTATTCCCTCTGCTCGTGTGCAGGGCCCCGGACTCACTATTATGCGGTAGCCATCGTGAAGAACAGCAGTACCTTTCATCTGAACCAACTACGAAGCCGGAAGTCCTGCCACACTGGCATTGGCAGGAGTGCTGGGTGGAACATTCCGATAGGGACACTTCGCCCATACCTGAATTGGGAAGGGCCACCTGTACCCATTGAGGAAGGTAAAATGGCTTGGGGGATCCTTGGTGGTTTTCAGGTGGGAGTTTCTATTCTCACTGTAGACACAGGCAGCTTTGGGTGGGTGTCCCTAAGGGATGGGTCTGAGGCTGGGCGGAGGGCGGCTGGCCGACTAGAGGAAGGAGCTATCACACCATCAGCTCCGGGAGACACCATAGCTGTTCTCTGGGCAAGGACCCGTGCCTGAGTTCCCAAGCCCACATCAGTGCTGGCCTGGCGGAAGGGGTGGAGGAAGGGGCCTTCCGTCTGTGGGAGGCCCCTTCCTGTCTGCTGGGAGACAGGGCCTCAGTGGTTGGGACTGGCTTCCACTCTGTGCTCTGCTTCTGTGTTTGACAGCGGTGTCCAGGTTCTTCTCAAAGAGCTGTGTCCCTGGTGCCAACAAGGACAGCTTTCCCAACCTGTGCAGCTTGTGTGCAGGGAGTGGAGAGAGCAAATGCGCCTCCTCCCCCGAGGAGCCATACTCCGGCTATGCAGGTGCCTTCAAGTGAGTGACACTATCTTCTCCCCGGTGGCCCATGGCCACCAGCCTCGGGCCAGGGTGCCCTTAGTGCACTACCTGCTGAGGGGTGGAGACAGGCTTCCCCTTCTGTGCAGACCGGAGAACCGGAGGCCCAGGAAGGGGCTGGCCTCTCGACTTCGTGGTCTTCTCCAGCCCCTAAAGGCCCAACAAGGCCCCAAACTATACCACTTTGATGGAAGGCAACCTGGCTATGGCCCTTTCTGATTACATCAAATCTGACTTTGCTCTCCTACCATCTTGGGTTGTCCTGCTCGATTCCTCCCCCCCCATGTGGGCGGGGCAGACGCTGTGGCCATTTTGTCTGGAGAGAGAGAGAGCCATGTGGTCAGGGACCCCAGGTCTTTAGCTGCTTTCTTCTCATTTTGCAGGTGTCTGAGAGACAACGCTGGAGATGTGGCTTTTACCAGAGCAAGCACGATATTTGGTAAGGGAGAAGCTGGGGGCACAGCTGCCTCCTGTGTCCTTTCATCATAATCCTGGTTACAGGTCACCAGACCCTCAGTTTCCAGACACTCTATATCAGATTGCCTACAGATTGCCTACTGGGTCCAGCTCTTGTTTTAGGTTTTCGGTTTGAAAACAACAACAACAACAAAACAAAACACTTTAAAACTAAGTTTTATTTTCTGTGCATTGGTGTTTGCCTGTATGGATGTCCGTGTACCACATGCATGCCTGGTTGCCCAAGAAGGCCAGAAGAGGGCGTCAGATGCCTTGGAGCTAGAGATAACAGGTGGTTGTGAGCCACTGTCTGGTTGCTGGGAATAGAACTCAGGTCCCCTGGAAGAGCAGCCAGTGCTCTTAACCTCTGAACCATCTCTCCACCTCCAACTTCACGCTCTTGAAATCTCCCACACTTTCTTCATTCTCTTTCACCTTGTGGAAACTCTCACCAAAGAGCTTGCCATGTGTTCTTCAAGAGGTACATGGCTTTGCAAAATGAGCTTTTCTGGCTTGTGTCTCTGGACTCTAAGTTCACACACATTTGACTGAGCACTAGAAGAGATGCTGTTTTCCAGTCAGCATTGAGGGTCAGAGATTGGCCTGTAGTTCTAATATATGGGGAACTCAGTGGTTCTGACAGGAGAGAGAAGGTATGTGGAACACATCTTCCGTAGTTAACATTTCTATCCCATAGCCCCTCTCATTTTATTCATTTATTCTGTGTGTGTGTGTGTGTGTGTGTGTGTGTGTGTGTGTGTGTATCTGTGTATGTGCAGTGTACACACACATGCATGTGCAGGCAGAAACCAAAGGAGGACTTGGCGAGTCTTCCTCTATTGCTCTCTATGTATGTTTTAGTTTTGAGACAGGCTCACTCACTGGACCTTAAGCTTGCCTTTTTGACTAGTCTGGGTGGCCAGCAAGCTCCGAGGACCCCTTTGCCTCTGCCTCCGCAGCACCTGGATTATAAATGTGCCCCACCAGCCCTTCCACCACAACCCTTAAAAAAAATATATCAGTTCTGAGGGATTGGGCTCAGGTTGCCGCACTTGTGCAGCAAGCACTTCAGCAACTGAGCCATCTCCTCGGGCCCAAATTTTTGTCACTTCTACTCTTCCTGGAGATATGGGTGAGGTAGCTTCCCCTCTCCCATTACTTCCTCTTTCTGCTTTTTGGGACAGGTTCTCATGTAGTTCAGGCTGGCCTCAAACTTGTTATGTAGATAAGGCTGTCCTTGAACTCCTGATCTATCTCTCAAGTACTGTACTGGCAGTGTGTGTGTGTATGTGTGTGTAGCATGACGATGACATCCTGGACCCATCTGATTGCAAGGACCTTTTTGTCAGAGGCTGTGGAGACCTTGATGGAGCTTGTTCTGCCTCCCTGAATCATGGGAAGCAGCTGCTTCAGCATTCATGGCTCTCAGTACAACACAACAAGCCGGGGGCTCTGGTCTTAGCACGCCCCAGGGACCTTCTGGCAACATCTCTTTACCTCTCGGAGTGTTCAGGAGCAATTCAGTGTTTTTGATTCAGTTTTGTCAACTCTGTGGTCAGGATTCTGTTGGGGAGAAGGGGAGCCACAGCACATGGCCACGGCCAAGCGTCAGCTCATCCTTCCACCTCTCCCTTCCCCCCAGAGGAACTACCGAACAAGGCCGACTGGCACCAGTACAAGCTGCTCTGCCCGGACAACACCTGGAAGCCGGTGACGGAGTACAAGGACTGCCACCTGGCCCAAGTCCCTTCACACACTGTAGTGGCCCGAAGTATGAACGGCAAGGAAAATGCCATCTGGGAGCTCCTCAGCCAGTCACAGGTGCACCCACACACAGTCCCCCTTCCCTGCTTAAGTGTGGGGACGAGGATCTCTTCTTCCCTAATTTCTGTAGCAGAGAGAGTTTGCTAGCTTAAGGACTCCAACTCTCCTCTGGACAGCAGCATCACTGGACCCTTCTCCAGCGTCAGCTCCCGGCAGGCTCTCCTGGGCTCCAGCAGAGCAGGAGTGGGGACAAGATGATAGTCTTAGGACCCCAAGGACCTTGGGACAAAACCATTTTCTGGGGAGTAAGCTGTAGTTGAGCTTGTGTCTCTGCAATGGGGGTGGTCCCCGTGAGCAAGGATATCACCTGAGGCGCCTGCTCCATTTGAATTATCCCCAAGCCCCTGGTAGCCACTTCCACATTGGGTGTTGGTTCCTTTCTGCCTACTTTGGGTGACCATAATGTTATTTTCTCTTAAACAGGAAACTTATGGAAAAGACAAAACATCGGAGTTCCAGCTCTTTGTCTCCTCCAAGGGACAGAAGGATCTGCTGTTCAAGGACTCTGCCATTGGATTTGAGCGGGTTCCCCCGTATGTAGACGTTGGACTCTACCTGACCTTCAGCTATATCACATCCATCCTGAACTTGAGGAAAAGTAAGTGATCCCCAGGCAGGAACCCAAGGGTGCCTGGGGCAGGCAGGAAACTGTGGGTGGGCTCTGCTCTGGGATGGTCTCTCAACCACGGGTGGGACTGACGTGCAGACATGCATCTTCTGTCAATCAAGTCATTGTGAGAAGTGTCTCCAAAAAAATGTCCCAGGCCCCGGATTGATGTTTCATATTCCTCTGTGTATGTCAGGATTCCCAAGGCCTCTTATTAAGTGAGAAATAGAGACATGAGCCAAGAAAGCCAGGCTCTGGAGGGATTATTCCAGAGGCTAGGTAGAACACCCCTTCTGTGCTGGGATTCAGACTTGGCTGGAGAGACTACAGTGGGCTGAATGAACTTGGCTGTGTTTATCCTGCTGTTGGGGCCTTAGGGAGTCTGGGTGAAACAGGAGGTTATACTGTGGTACCTGCTGGTGGCTGTGCGTCTCGTTGGTGGTCAGAGCTGAGTCAAGCTCCTCTGAGCCAGCTGTTGGGGTGTACACTAGTTTTGCTTGTCCTGGAGCTTTTATTCTGAGGGATGATGGAACATTAGGCACATGGTTCCACTAGGGACTGATGGATGGATGGATGATGGAGGGAAGCCCTCCAAAAGACCATCAGTGAGCCACAGAAAACCTTCATCAAGGCCTGAAGTGGATGGAGAGCTGGGATGTGGGCAAGGGAAGAACGCACCACTTTCAGCTTCTTCTGATCTGGGCAGGAGCATGGTCCCCAAGGAGGACAGAGGTGGGGACGAGGCAGCTTCTAAGTGTTGCTCACCATCGTCCTCCTTCACAGGGCCGGAGGATGTGATAGCCGCACGTAACCGGGTCACGTGGTGTGCAGTGGGCAGTGAGGAGAAGCGCAAGTGTGACCAGTGGAGCCGAGCCAGCGGTGGCAGGATCACCTGTGTCTCGTTCTCCTCCACAGAAGACTGCATCGTCTCCATCATGGTAAGGAGCCAGGGTCCCATGGTGTGGGCAGTGGGCTTCTCAGAGGCATAGGCCATGGTCCTCTGCTTACTGCAAGCTCGCTCACCCAGGAGGCCACTATGAAGAAGGCACACTCAAAGAGGGTGGGATCAGGACCATTCATGCCTTGTATGAAGGAGCACCCTTCTACATCTGAGAAACAGTTGGCTGTAGAATTTCCACCTTTCTCATTAAAAGAACAATTTAGGGTTATCAGGTTAATTTGGAAAATACAGGATTGTGTTGTATCTCTCTCACACACACACCGGTATGTGGCTGCATACAGAGGTATCTACAGTGAGAGTTTTGGGATTTCTAGGTTCCTCTGTACATGCAGCCTAGAGCGCCTCTTGGTTTGAATGGGTTATATACTTCTGACCCCTTCTTAAGCAGTATATCATGAATACTTCCCCATATCTATACTCAATCTTGGGAAGCATTTTAAAAATGTTTATATTAGTTTTTGTATATGTGTGAGTGCCTGAGTGAATGTCCGGGAACTACATGAATGCAGGGCCCTCGGAGGCCGGAGAGGATGTCTGAGCCCCGGGAACAAGCTGCCATGCTGGTAATGGAACTGAGCTCAGTTCTCTAGGGGAGCAATCCCTTACGTGCTGAGCCAAATCTCTACTCCTCTCTGATTAGGTTTAATGTATTAAAAAAAAGAAAAAAGACTGGGCACAGGAACATTGCAGTCTTGATAAATCCACATTTCTGTATTGGGTTTGTGGCTACCACTCCGAGTGTTGCATTAAAAAGCAGAAGTTAGCTGAGAGCGGCTGTTTTTGTCATGTCTTCCACCCATGAGGCTGGCTCGAAAAGAGCCGCAGAAATGCTCTGGGTCCTGTTCTCAGAGAGTTGGTGTCTCCCGTGTGTGGCTGACAGCACAAAGACGTGGCGGAGGACTGAGTCGGGTGGTATGCCCTCGGGGTGTTCCGTTCAAGCACCAAGCGGCTTGAGGCCATCCCCAAGAGCTGTGAGGACAGCAGGACAGAAGACAGGTTTCTGCAGCGTGGGTGACCGCCTCTGTCTCTGCAGAAGGGGGACGCTGACGCCATGAGCTTGGATGGAGGGTACATCTACATTGCGGGCAAGTGTGGTTTGGTCCCTGTCCTGGCGGAGAACCAGAGTAAGTGGAGTGGGTGTCCTTTCTGGGTTATTCCATTGGAGGCTGACGTGAGAGTGGGGAGGTGTGGCCACACTCACTAGATCCTGAGGAAGATGGCAGGAGAACCAGAAGAAAGAATAAACAAAAGGGGCCATGCTACCCGCCTCACCACCCCACCCCCCAAACTGACAAATCACAGGTGGTTTACTTCTTGATTAAAACAGAAACAACAACATTTTGGGGATGCTGAGATGACCCAGCTGATAAAGGCATTTGCTGCCTGATGACCTAAGTTTGATGCCTAGGACCCACATGGTGAAAGTAACTGACTCCCCCAGACTGTTCTGACCTCCACGCTGTATGCACCTGAACACACACACACACACACACACACACACACACACACACACACACACACACAAAATAGATGCAATTTACACTCTTTTCATAAAAACAACTCAAAAAAGTACACAAGTAAACAAGCCAGTGTCATTTTACAAATAGCACTCATGTACTGATGCCCAGATGGGGGGGTCACCTTGTACTGACACCCAGATGAGGGGTCACCTTGTGCCCAGCTGTCATCATACTCCCTAATAGCTGTGGCTCTCCTGATTTCCAGAGACACAGATCACCATGCCTCTCTTTTAAATCAGTAGAAAAAGAACCGTGTGTTTAATGTTTGATGTGTCTTGCGAGGCATTATTTTTGTGCTATTCAGCTACACGAGCTGTGGCTGTTGACTAGTCGGTCTCATAGTTGTGTAATCTGTTGTGTGGCTCTTTACCATTGTCCCTGTGGATGGACATCTTGGGTAAGTTCCATCTGGTAGTTATCATGAATGCCCTTGTCTATGATGAGAATGTGTATTTATTTCTGCTGAACTGAAATACCAAGGCATTCTCTTTGAGTTTGATTTCGTATTGTGGGGGATTTAAAAGTTCGTGACCTTTTAGTAAATCTTGAGTAGTCGATAATGTTTCACTTGCCTTTGTCCCTTCAGAATCCTCCAAAAACAACAGTTCTGATTGTGTGGAAAGACCAGTAGAAGGTAAGTCACAGTCAAAAGCAAGCCAATGCTCAGGAAGAGGCAGAGAAACCTCACCTAAGCACACAGAGGCTCACCCCAGAAATACAAATATGTACAGATAAAAACACACGGAGGAATAATTATAATTAATCTCTGTGTGGACCTTCACACTTGGTGAAGAACTTTCATGTGGTCCAGGGTTATGTGCAAAGAGAAATGTTGCTCCTCCGTTCTGTCTGTTTAAGGAAACAGTGGCCCAGAGAGTTTTCCAGTGCCTCAGGTCTCTCACTCACAGTGGTATACAATGCTGGTGCGCATCCTGGCTTTGAACCGGGACTTCTAGCTCATCAAGCTCGAGGCTCTGTGCGCTAGCCCCGGCTGCTCTCGGGAGTCGGAGCTTGCTAGGCTTTGGAAGCCTGGGTGCTTGCCTGCAGTGGGGGTGTCAGATACCTGCAGGAGGAGGATGGCAATCACATTAGCTCCCTCCCCATGCTGGGCTGGTTGACCTCACATCTGGGGGGTCCTGGGTGCATGCCCCCAGCACTGATGCAGCAGCTGATCTAGCGGTCATCACAGCTGTCGCCTGATACAACTGCAGGCAGTAGCTTGTGCATTGTTGAGGCCACTCTCATGGCCCAGGGTCTGTCACCCAAGGTAAAGGTTTATAACTCAGCAACACTGTGTGGCTGGTTGAGGGCAGCCCATTGTTATCACCTAAAGGGTCAGTTTTCATACTATTTTATTTCATAACTCAGATCAGTTTCCGCTTGACACAGAACAACATTTTTGGTTCTCCTTCCCTCTCTCCCTCTCTCCCTCTCTCCCTCCCTCTCTCTCTCTCTCTCTCCCTTTTTCTCTTTCTTTCATCCTCCTAACAATGGCCAATAATCCATGGTAATGGAAACCTGTTGTATTTTTGGCCTGGGTTGGAGACACTGTACCAGAACCCACGTGCACCCTGGTGGCTAAGATTGCCTCTCTGTCATCTGTTGTGCAAGGGTACTTTGCCGTGGCAGCAGTTAGAACAGAAGACAATGGCTTCACCTGGAGCACCGTGAGAGGCAAGAAGTCCTGCCACACCGCCGTGGACAGGACCGCAGGCTGGAACATCCCCATGGGCCTGCTTGTCAACCAGACCAAATCCTGCAAGTTTGGTAAGCGTGTGGGAGCGCCCCATGGGAGGACCGTCCTGGGTGGGGCAGTGAGTGCCTGAGGCTGTGAAACCTTAGGGAAGGGAGAGGGCAGGAGCTTTGCTGACTGGCTGTAGCTGTAGGGTCTGTTTTAGAATAACTAGGTTCTCCTTGTGCTCACCTCATGGAGCCATGGGTACTTAGAATTTTTTCCCTACAGAACACCTCCTAAAGCTTCCCCAACTGCCCACACTCATGGAGAGCCAGAACTCAACATCATTTAATTAAAAAACTAATATATGCCCAACCTTATAAATTAGCAGCCAGCTGAACTGCTAACAATTGGATGTGTCTTTTTGTAATCCTAAGTAAGATAAGCTTGAGTTTTCTGATGTAGGCAAGAATGCAATGTAAAACAGCATTTTCAAACGTTTTAGTGTATATTTAAAAACCTATGCCTTTTAAGACTATTTCCAGGGAGTTGGCACCCAGCACTCCCGAACATATGTGATTGTATCAACCTAGTACCATGGGACGTACCAGCCATTGGGCACCTTATTTTTATTGAGAAGCCAGGTGCCCAGGGAGAAGACAGGGGCACTGTCTTCTGTTTCTGATTTAAAAATAAAAAGAAGTCAGACTGTGGACCAGGAGGCCGGCAGGCTCTGCGGCAGAGAACCACCATGGTCTTCAGCAGAGCTCCTGCTACACAAGGCTGTGATGAGAGGGCCCTCCATGCAGGCGTGATTCCTCCGAGCAGCAGCCGGACAGACACCCTGTCCATGCCTTCAGCCTGAGGCTTTTCTGATTTCCAGGGGGTCTTTGGTTGGTGGTGGGATGTCATTCCCTGATGATGTGTGTCCTATCTATGCGGTCTACACGCTGAGCTGAGACCAAGCTATGTCATCTGCTGCTGGGTAAAGGCTTTGTGATGATCCTGGCCAGAAGCACCAACTCACCTTCATCCCTCCTTTCAGATGAATTCTTTACGCAAAGCTGCGCCCCTGGGGCTGACCCCAAATCCAGCCTCTGTGCCCTGTGTATTGGTGACAAGAACGGCAAGAATCAATGTGCTGCCAACAGCAAAGAGAGATACTCTGGCTACATCGGGGCTTTCAGGTGAACCCATGGCAGCGCCACCAGCATGGGGCCTCAGCTGTGACACTGTGGTTCTGGATGGGGGTTGTCATCCAGAGTCAGTAATCAGATGGGCAGCGGGAGCAAGAGCCTCCTATTACACCGACACCCCAGAGAGTGGACACTGGTCGGCAGGCCTGCAGAGCTCAGCTTTACTGTCCAGCCAGCAATCCACATAGACCCTCAAAGTCAATGGGTAGAGAGTGTTTTCAGTGTTTTGTGGGGAGAATTCCAGTAAGCACCGCCCTCTTCCCCTCACTCAGTCACCATTGTGTCTTTTTCTCTTCTCTTCTCTTCTCTTCTCTTCTCTTCTCTTCTCTTCTCTTCTCTCTTCTCTTTTCTTTTCTCCTTGACTTTGGCCCTAAAGAGTCTGGAGAGATTGCTTGCTGCTTCATGCAGCACTGAGCTCAGTTCCCACGACCCCTTTCAGGTGTTCACAGCTCCAGGGGATGCAATGTTTTTCTCTGGCCTACAGGGGCACCTACACACGTGTGCACATATGTACACACATACACATGAGTAAAAAATTTAAATAGGTTTTTTTTTTTAAAGAAGTGACAAGGAAAAAGCCGTATTACAGTGCTCTTTTCCAACAGTAATATGAAAAATCAAGAAAAAGTTAGCTTTCATATTTCATACATGCCAAGTGCTGCATGGGTCGCAGTGACTGTAGAACTCATACGAAGTTAGATATTGCTTCTCGGGGCACCCTGTAAGATGTGATGCCCACGTGGAAGCTCCCTTCCTTATCCCTTCTCTCTTTGCCAAGAGTATTCTTTACCACCATATGGTGTTACGGATCCTCAGATGTCAATAGTCAAACAGGACTTTGTTCTTTTAAGTATACATTTAATAATTTTGTTCCCATGAAACAATGACTTTTTTTGCTTATATCTGAATGATTTGTAAACATTGATTCTTTTCAAGTGTACAAACAATGTCCTTAAGGATTCACAAATAGAAAAGCTACAGCATGATTCCACTTATAAGTATTAAACAGACAAGCTTGTTAAGAACCCACGGAAGTCTTGGGATCTGTCCCCCCGAGACTTGCAGTACGATAGTATTTCGCTGGAAATGTCTGCAAATCCTTGTTCCTATTTATTCTAAAAAACACTGTTTTGTCTTATGCCCAGTTGTATGTAGAATCTAGACTTCTAGACTTGGGGGGTATATAACAAAATAATTGACAGCTAGAACCAGGAGTCTTGTTTTCTCTTGTATCTTCACCTAAAGTTTATTTAGGTTACCATTCAACATACTGGGATTAATCACGGTGTCTCCGAATATGGGCGATGTTATAGTTTTCCCCTTTGTTCCCCAGCTCTGTAGCATGCATTCCTTTACCCTCTCCACTTCTCAGCTTTCTTAAGACCTCTCCTTCCAGGGATGGAGAGAGAGAGCTTAGCAGTTAAGAGCCCTGGCTGCTCTTGCAAAGGACCTAGGTTCTGTTCCCAGCATCCACATGGTGGCTCACAGGCTTCTTCTGGCCTCAGCAGGCACCAGGATTCATACGGCACACAGGCATTAAGGCAAACATTTTATACATAATAAATTAAAGAAATTTCTTTTTTTTTTTTTTTTTTTTTTTTTTTTTAGACAGATTTCTTTGTGTAGCTCTGGCTGTCCTGGACTCACTCCATAGACCAGAGATTCACCTACCTCTGCTTCCTGAGTGCTAGGATTAAAGGTGTGTGTGACCACTGGTGGCAATGTTTTTTAAAGGATCTCTTCCTTCCCTCTCATAGTCCTCATTCTGGTTACACACACACACACACACACACACACACACACACACACACTCTTTTACATTTAGGCTCCATCTGTGACAGAAAACTTGCTATTTGTCTTTGAGTCTAGCTTATTAAACAAAATAATCTCCGGTTTCATCCATTTTGTACAAACATAATGATTCCCATTTAAACTTCCTTTGTGAATATGTAGCACATTTTCTCTACCCATTCATCTGTGGATGGACATCTTGGCTGCTTCCATTTCTTGGCTGTGGTGGATAAAGCTGCTGTAAACACGGACATGCAAATATCTGTGTGGCAGCACAGAGTCCTTTGAGTGTTTACCCCGATGTGATCTGGCTGGGCTGGGTGATAGCTTTGGTTTCAGGTTGTTAGGGAATGTCTGTATCGGCTGCACAAGTTTTATTCTTGTATTCATAATTAGCGCACAAATACCACTGAGTCTTAACTTTCACTTTGCAAGTATTTTTCTGACTTCCTGCTCTGGTACAAAACTTAGCCTCTCAACACTGGCCCCTGCTCTTCCACTACCTGAACCACAAACGTCCCCCATTTTAACACCGGATTTGCCTTATCGATGCCCACAGTGCCAATGCTATTCCAGCATCATTCCCATATTAAGTACATGGCACAAGAGTGTGTGTCCCTAGCCAGGCATGGAGGTGCCTAGAGTTGAACTCACATCATCAAGCTTTGCGGCAAGAGCTTTTACATTCTGAGCCATCTCCTCAGCCCATGTGCCTAATCTCTGGTGTTCTGAAACTTCATTTCTCTATGTGAATCCTTTCTACTTTGTTAGATTGGGCAATTGGTGGGCATTCCATCAAATTATTCAGTTTGGAGAAACTTATTTTATTGGCAGTTTCTATCCTCTCCTCCCTAAGTTCTCCCCCAGCCTCGTTCTTTAAACCACAGACTCTCCTGTGGCTCACTATCTGATTTCCTAGAATTCATTAGCTGTTGATTCACTTCCAGTTTCTGCCATGTTTTCTTGGCTGAATCTTTCAATCCTGTGTCACTTTAAAGCATTTTACGTTGAGGATTATTTTTAGTTTCTGTTTAAAATGTATTTATTCATTTTACATCTGTTTTGCCTGCATGTGTATCTACATACTACCTACATGCCTGGTGCCCTCAGAGTCAAGAAGAGGGAATCCTGGACTTACAGGTTGCTTTGAGCCTTCGTGTGGCTGCTGGGAATCGAACCTGGCCCTTCTGGAAGAGCAGCCAGTCGTCTGAACTCCTGAGCCACCTCTCTCGCCTCAACCCCCTTTACTTCCTAACCTCACTCTATCACAATTACTCATTTTTTGAGCTTCCTTTACTTGCTCCATGAATGCTTCATTTCTTTCATATCTTTAATGGTATTAAATGTAGTTTGTAAAAAAAGAAAAAAAATCTCTCCCTTATATTGCCTTTGTATCTCGGGAGTATAGGCTGGTATGGCTTGGCCACTGTCTTTCCAGATTCTAAAGGGTGTCATCATTACCTTCTCTTGCTCTTTTCTAAGTTTATGGGTTAAAAAAATAGAAATCTCACTGGTATCATTTCATTGGGGTTTCAGAAGGAGAAAAGATAGACAGATGCTTGTAAGCTGGCATGTTAAGTAATGAGTTCCTGGAAATATTTTCAACTTTTGCCTGTTTGCTTCCATGTTTTAGTTTTTGGAATGCATGTCACAAATATTTATGAAAAGTCTAATGTTTTCTCCCTTGTGGTGTGTTTATTTGGGGAACTATTTTAGGTGTCTGGCTGAGAACGCAGGAAACGTTGCATTTTTGAAGGACTCCACTGTCTTGCAGAACACTGATGGTATGTAAAGACGTTCGCTTCCTCCTTCAGAGCAATCTCTGGCACCGCCGCATGCCCTCTCCTCTGGGTTTGTATTTGAAAAGATAGTAGAACTACTTCAGACTCTTGACTAAAAGAATTCCAAAGTTTTTTGAATTTGGTTTTATTTTTATTTTTTTTTTTAAGACAGGTTTTAATTTTATAACTCAACTTGGGACTTATCATGTACCTCACATGAGTCCTGAACTCATGGAAGTCTTCCTGTCTTGGTAAACTGAGTTCTGGAAGTTATAGGCATGAACCACTCCAACTGGGGAATTATAAAGTCTCTACTGAAAGTAGGCAGCATGGGGACATCTGTGGTGTCACAGTGATTTTGAAGCAATTCACACACACAAATATACACACACACATATATACACACATAGAGACACTCACACAGACATACACATAAACATACATTTGTACACATACACGCACACATTCACACAGGCATATGCAGACATACATGTATATATACACACATACATATATACACAAACTACCAGCACCAGCAGCAGCAGCCATAATTGGTAGCAGGCGCATCTGTGGGGAAACTCGCTGTCTCTCTGTTCCAGATGAAACAAATACAGACAGTAATAATAACTGAATGCAGGTGAGTAAATATTCTTTATCAAAAAGGGAAATAGAAGTTTCCCTTCAGCTCCATGTGAAGCCTTGAGAGTCAGTGAGTAAAAATCCACAGGAGCATGAATGTTAAGAAAAAAATGTGCCAGCCAACATTTGAACAAGAACCCCTCTTCTGGTCTCTGGATCCCCTCCTCTGGTCTCTGGATCCCCTCCTCTGGTCTCTGGATCCCCTCTTCTGGTCTCTGGATCCCCTCCTCTGGTCTCTGGATCCCCTCTTCTGGTCTCTAGATGCCCTCTCCTGGTCTCTAGATCCCCTCTCCTGGTCTCTAGATCCCCTCTCCTGGTCTCTAGATGCCCTCTCCTGGTCTCTGGATGCCCTCTCCTGGTCTCTGGATGCCCTCTCCTGGTCTCTGGATGCCCTCTCCTGGTCTCTAGATGCCCTCTCCTGGTCTCTGGATCCCCTCTCCTGGTCTCTGGATGCCCTCTCCTGGTCTCTGGATCCCCTCTTCTGGTCTCTAGATCCCCTCTTCTGGTCTCTGGATGCCCTCTCCTGGTCTCTAGATCAGGAAAACAAAAGTAGGCATTCAGCTCCTGCCATCCCTTTGCTACTCTCCAAGTTGCACATCTCTCCTTCGCCTCCTCAGCTCTGCCTCTGAAGGCGACTTGCTCTTTTGTTCAGTAAACTGTCAGTCCAGCCCCTTCTCCCCTTCCCTTCTGCCTGCCTGTTGTCTCTGGGTGATTGTGCATGTGCTAGGAGACCCCTGAAACACTCAGTATTAAGGAGAGGGACCCAGGAGGCAGGTGAGGGGTTTCCCAAGGAAGGAGAGTCAAGCGCAAGCTTGGATGACAAACCCGTGTTTGCACACCCAGGCTTGCCTACTTTTAAACCTGAAATTTATGGCAGCCTGGTGATACTCCAGGATCAGAGTGATGCCAAATTTAATTTTAAGCTTCTCAGGTACTTAATATTTTATTAAGTTTATTATGTTTATTTAAGTTACTATGTTTGTTTGAATTAGCTAGACATATTTGATAAACCCATGGAATTCCCCATTTTTTTCCATATTGCACGAAACGAGAGGGAAAAGGTTGTCTGTATTTGAAAGTCTGAGCTTGGAAATGCTTTATAATTGGAAACTTTTCAACACTACATGTTATGCAACAAGTGGGAAATCCTGCACTTGAGCTCATCTGACGAGTCACAGCCAGACTGCAGTCACTCTGGAAACACTGTGCAGTGTCCCCTTCAGATGGCGTCTGTACTGCGCATGTGACACACACAATGGGATATTGTTTATTGCTGCATTGCCACCTTCACAGTATCTCCTTATATATACATGTGCAAATGTTCTAAAATTTGAACAAATTCCAAAGCAAGAGCATCTCTAGTCGCAGACATCTGAATAAAGACTATTGAGCCTGTGTGCTCTTTTTTGGGACTGACTGGAAACTATGGCATAGATGGAGTTCTTTTGTAAAAGGAGGGGGCTGGGAAGATACATCAGTGGGTAAAGAGCATGTTATGCAAACATTGGGAACCGAGTTCTGATCCCTAGCACCCCTGTAAGAAGGCAAGTGAGGTGTCACGTACCAGCTCTGGAGATGGTAGGGGTGGAGATGGATCCTGAGCCTTCTAGCCTTCCAGTTGAGCCAATGAGCTCTGAGTTCAGTGGAAGACTGTGTCTCAAAAAATGAGCGAAGAAGTGACTGGGGAAGATACCCAGGTGTCAGCCTCTGACCTCCACACATACCTGCACAGACAATCGCACTTGTACTTATGTGCACACACACACACAACACGCATGCTACACGCTACACACACACACTCACACACACACACAAACACGTAGAAGAACAGTCATTTGAACAACAGGAAGAACCCCTTCCACCATCTTTGCCTCTTCACCCTCTACTTCCTGTTTCCATGGCTTTGCCTGCCCTCATAAATGCAGTCATTTGTGGCCTTTTGTAGCTGGCTTCTTTCATCGTAGCATCGTGATTTTGAGCACCAGTCTTGGTACCATGTGGATGAGCATCACCCCTTTGTTATGGCATAGGATTCTCCTATATGGCGAAGCACCACAAATACTACAGAGCTGTAGCCCGAATAGCTTGTGAGGGGTAAAGCTTCATTTTTGCCTCCTGCGTATCAGCATAGCCCATGTGGGCTTTCCAGAATATCTCATGCCAATGCAAAGATGCCGTGGCTGAGCAGACCAGCCATGGCTAGTGATACCTGTCTCTCACCAGGAAAGAACACTGAAGAGTGGGCCAAGGACTTGAAGCAGGAGGACTTTGAGCTGCTGTGCCTTGATGACACCCGGAAGCCTGTGACTGAGGCAAAGAACTGTCACCTGGCCATAGCCCCCAACCACGCTGTGGTGTCTCGGGTGGACAAGGTGCAGTACCTTCAGCGGGTGCTGCTTGACCAACAGGTATGGACACCAGCGGCCCACATTCCTCACTGCATGGACTCCTGTCGGGAGGTGATTCATGCATTCAAGCCTCTCTTTCCAGCCCCTCTGCTTGATCGGTGGGGATGTCATTTGCGTCATGCTCTGAGTCTTTCTAGGGAGCCATCTAGACTTCTGCCTGGACTCCCTGCTCCTGGACTTGAACTTGTGTATGGCCCAGAGACAGTTCTGACCTTCCCCTCCTGCTGCTTCCTCCCATGACCCATATCAGACAGAGGGCAAATGCTCACTCAGTGCTCAGGACAAAGGCTGCAAAGCAGCAAACACAGAGCGAGTTCCATATGACAGAGACACGAGGTTCTCAGGCTCACAGATTAGCACTAGGGAGATCAGGAATATTAAACATGCAGTGTTGTCTTTTCAAGGAAGAGATGTACAGCCTGTTTTCCAGCAAGGAGGCTGGAAACCCACATGGTTTACAGCCTGGGGTCTTCCATGCTGTCTGTACAGCCAGGCCATTCTGGTCTCCAGACTCTCCCGTTTGTCTCAGTCAATCTCTAGCGCTACCCTCCTTGAGGCCCTTATCAGGAGCTTCATTTTTCATATCAGGAGCCTGCTTGTTCATTTAATCTAGAGGTCCTGTCTTCATGGAAGACACCGCTTGCAACTTACAAGAGTTTTGATGTAATCCTGCCTTAGGCTTTGTAGCACACACGGGACTGAGTTCATCATCATCAGGAAACTTTCTCCCCAAAATTGTGCTGTGCTTAAATATGCCTAAAATAAACTACTCAGTGTCAGATATTTTGAAGTTTGTCCCAACACTGGCTACTGAGTCGTGTTGAAGAGAACTTCCTTCTCCTCTCATGTGGATTGACACTCTGTTGGCCTTGGTGTTTGTAGAGACCCTCACATCCATGAATTTAAGGCTGCCTGTGTTCTGGGGTTCCCTGTTCTAGTCTATTTTCCTATCACAACATGCTGGCCCTGGGTATACTTTTGAGTGTTCAGAGAACGGACTGCAGCTGAGAGAGACTGAATGTCCTGCAATGGCCCAGGTCATAGAAACACGGGAGGCTTCTGACTCAAATTGCCCCTCTGGACAGCTGGGAATGTTCTAGATGATCAGCTTTCATGGGAGGACCTCCAAAATCTTCACCTGACCTCTTATCACCAGGAAGAAGTTCTACAGGAGTCGATAACAGGTTCAGTAGGAGGAAAGATGTGGGAGGCAAGATCAGAGCCCCTGGGCCCTGGCTGGAGAGCCCAGACAGGAGTCAGCCCAGGCAGGAAAAGCAGCTGCTGCCTTTCTGCAATTCTGCTTACCCAAAATGGAAGAACCTTTGCCTTTCCCATCCCTCCTTCTGTGACCACTCACAGACTGTTGGCTCTCTTGATGCAGATTCTGTTTGGAAGATATGGATCGAAGTGTCCATCAGAGTTTTGCCTGTTCCATTCTAACACCAAAAACCTGCTGTTCAATGATAACACTGAGTGTCTGAGCAAGCTGCACAGCAAAACAACATACGAAAAGTATCTGGGACAGGAATACGTCACGGCCACCGAGCATCTGAAGCAGTGTTCCAGCTCCCGTGAGTAGGGTCTGAATATACTTACCTAGGGACCAACATGGGAGAAAGTCAAGGTTTGGAAGCCAGAGTGCACACAGACATGCAACCTCCTTAAACCCTTAAAATGTCGAGCCCAAGAGATGGCACAGGGGGTGAGAGACTGACTGCCCTTCCAGACGCCCCACGAGGCGGCTCCCAACAATCTGTAGTACCAGTTCCAGGCAATCCGACACCCTCTGCTGGCCTCTGTGGGCACCAGGCATGCATGCAGTGGTCAGACATGCATGCAGGCAAAGCACTCCCACACGTGACAAAATAAGTTCAGATGTAGGAAATGTACGGATAATAATTTAATTCTTGACAGCTGTTTAGAAGAGTGGCTGGAGACATCTCTCAGTGAGTCATGTATTTGCCTCAAATGCACAAGGCCCTGGGTTCGGCCTCTGGCACCACTGGGTGTAGCGGTGCGCACCGGTACTTGAGAGGTAGAGGTTTTCAAAGTCATCCTTGGCTACCAATGGAGATCAAAGTCAGCCTGAGGTACACAAAACCCCGTCTCAAAAAAAAGTTCAAATACATATTATACATTTACATACATACGTGTCTGTGTGCATATGTAGGCGCGCGCACACACACACACACACACACACACACACACACACACACAGATTGCTGAAATTTTCAAAGCGATTCCTCAAGCTCCAGCATGCATTGGCTCACAGTGCACAGTGGCCTCTTCAGCCCGTACATCTGGTCCCCACTCTGAGAGGCAGAGGCCTGGCAGATGCTGTCTGGTCCAGGAGCAAGAGCAGACCCAGAATCTCTTTGTCAGTTGTTCTCAACTTAGGATGATGTTGTCCCCAAAGGAGACATTTGGTCATGCCTAGAAACATTTTTGATGACCACAGTTTGTGGGTTCTGCTGGTCCCGGGCAACAGAGGTTGGGGTTTTAGCGAGCCTGGGATACCCCATCCTGCAAAAAAGGAGGATTATCAGGCGCCCCATGCTGACACCCCAGGTGAGGAGCCATATTCCTTATTGAGCGGGCTTCTCAGGCTGAGGTGTTGCAGGTGTGGTCCGCACTGGGTGGACAGATAGCAGCGGTGCAGAGGACAGCTGTCTGCCCACGCCGTCCGCAGCTCATGGCACAGCCACTCACAGTCAGGAGCTCAGCCAGTGTTTGCAGATTAAGCACAGAGATCAGCCTTCATCATGGGCGGTTCAGGAGCCAGGGGACCAGTGCCTTGTGAACTTGAGTGGCATGAACTAATTCACTTAGAGTGGAGTCAAGTGCCCCTCAGGTCAGGGCAGGGGATGTCCTGTGTTCCCAGGAGGCCACAGTTGCCAGAAGAGGACGGATGAGGCAAGCCCTGGCTCACAATGGTGGGACAAGGGCTAGGAAACGGTTTTTGAGATCTCCTTGATATAGATTTGGAAAAAAAAAAAAAAAAAAAAAAAAGTGTTTCTGAATGTCCTGCTTTCTTCGTCCCACAGCACTCCTAGAAGCCTGCATTTTCCTTACCCAGTGAAAACACCCAGCAAACCTGTGGAGCCTTCCCACGAAGCCTCATCTGGGATCCGTGGGGTCCTGGGGCCTGGCTGTGCTTATAACTCCCTGCTGTCACTTTAGGTAGAAATAAAATGAGACACAGTGTTGGTTTTCTTGTCATATCAAGTGTCGTTCATTGTGCCTCGAATTTCACAGTGAAATCGTGTGTCTGACCAAATGCCTACACACTTGGACTTGCCTTTGGAGTTTTCCAAGCTCAACCCTTCTTTTGTCCTGAAGTTCTGGGCATGGTGCCTGTTGATCTGGAATCTGGGGACAAGCCAAGTGGCTATTTTTTTCCCCAAGGGGGTCTGGTTTATTCACACAGAGATCACAGTACGTGTGTGTGTCCCAGATGGTGTGTGCTATGTGCGTACATGTACACTTCAGCAAATGTTTGCATATGTGACTGTGTGTTCTTCACCAACCAATCTCATGCATGTGTGTACGTGCATGTGAAAGCCAGAGGACAGTCTTGAAAATCACTGCGCAGGCGCCGCCCACCTTTTCTTTTGAAAGAGTGCACCCTAACTTGCAGTGATAAATGCCATGACCAACCTCCCTTTTCCTTCTTTCTTCCTTCCTTCCTTTCTTTCTTTCTTTCTTTCTTTCTTTCTTTCTTTCTTTCTTTCTT